ATATATATATATATTTATATATATTTATATATAATTAAATATTTATTTTTAAAATTACTTAATTTAATAAATTATTATAAATTAATCTAATTATGATTAAATTAAATTATTAAATAAAAAATATTTTATTTTTTAATTAGTGAATAATTAAATTATATTATATAATTTTACCGACGGATTTATCCGTCGGTAAATAATTTTTAATTTACATATGAATTTATCGACGGATATATCCGTCGGTAATTACTTGTTAATTTATCGACGGATTTACCGACGGATATATCCGTCGGTAAATTCATCTATAAATTACCGACGGATATATTCGTCGGTAACTAATTATTATTTTACCGACGGATATATCCGTCGGTAACATCAAATTTCACAAATATTTTATATCCGTCGGTAATTTCCGTCGGTAATGATTATTTTCCGACGGCTACAATTCCGTCGGTAAAAATTCGTCGGTAATACGCGATTTTCTTGTAGTGTACAGACTTCCCAAAAATTTCCAATCACCTGTTACAAACAGAAAACTTCCAATACAGTTCAAAAAGGGTTCACAACCCATCATCTAATTCTTTCAATTTAATTTTCAATGAATTTTCTCATGAAAAACCACCATGCATATAAATGCTCACTCAAAGACCATACATATCATAATAGAGTACCAAGCATATATTTTACACCATCATACACATAAGCAATTCATGATCACTTTCACAACCAAGCATATAATAAAATCAAAATGATCAATCATAACAAATTTAGACAAATTCAACAAATAAGGTCAAACAAGTTTATGATGTAATCCTTACTATATAGTCCACCCCTTACCTGATACGTTCACACTTATTCCTTTCAAAACTTGATGTTGTGTTTCAGCAAAATCTATATACGTAATAAAATGCTAGTTAGAATCTTATATTTCTATGATTCTATCTCATGAGAATTTAAATTCATTTTGTATTGTTAATCCATTTCTAATAATATTTTAAGCTCACATTCAGCTTACAATTAACTTAGAAATTATCCTATTTTGTAGGCACTTAGAGTAGAAAGAATCCTAATAACAACCATGGACAAGGTTCAGTATTTCGAAATTTTCTAGAGTTATATAAACTGTTTTGGCATGCGATTTGAGCCAAAATTTCAATAACTTAATTACCTACAATATTGATGAAGGAAATAAATTCAAATACCCTATAGAATAGATGCAGTTTTCAGTTTTCAGTGGTTATTTCCAACTGGACTCAATTACAATAACACTCTGAACATGCCTTGGTAATTTGACTATTACTCATGCTAAACATAAGCTATTGACATGAAACAAATTTCTAAATTTCGGGAATATAATTTCCTACAACTTTTATGAAGGAATCAAGTCCTAATTTCATACGTATCAATCCCAGTAATTCAAAAACCGAGGCTGTTGAAACAGGGCAACATCTTAACGTCACAGCTAGAACACTTGACAGTAAAATGGGTATAACTTGAGCTACCAATATCCTTTTAATGTAAAACCAGTTTCTAAATTTCGACAACTTAAAGGGCTACAACTTTCATGAAGATACCAATTCCTAATTCTATTCACACAAGTCCAAAAAATTCAAGGAATAGTAGCTACGAATAAGGGCTCTTAAAGTTTTTAGCTTAACAACTTCTAATCCTCAATTTTAAGCATCATTCTAATATTCTAGGTGTAAAACCTACAATAACCTTCTTCCTACATCTATTCAAGTTGAGCCAAGTGAGGAGAAAAATAGAAAATGCACCGTTTTGAAAAATAAAACGGTAGAAATGTAGAGGAGATTGAGATAAACCAACTTACCTATTGGAGCTTCTCAAGAAAACCAAGATTTCTCCCTCAAAATGACGCTTGAAGGTAAGAAAACTTTTGAGAGAAATGAGGAACTAGGTTACAGAATAATGACACTCTGTCTTTTTAAAGTCAATATTTCACCTAATAATCCGCTCAGCATATTTCTGATTCGAACCACAATCCGCTCAGCGCATTTCTGATGCGCCCAGCGGATTACAGGCCGCGAACCACAATCCGCTCAGCGCATTTCTGATGCGCCCAGCGGATTACATTACAAAAAAAAATTTCCTTATTTTCTCCTGCCAAGATTTGAACTCACAACCCCTAAGACTCCAACATCACTCCAAACCATAATAACCATCATATGTTTCTTGTCTATTTATACACATAATAAACTTTTTATGTACCCACACTCAATGCATAAAAGAAAACAATAATTTTTAAATGTGACAATTAAAATTGTTAAGTCCATACTCTTTAAAATTTCAACCTTAAATCATATAACTACTATCAGGCGTCCAGTTGCCTGCAAAACGGATCAATTTTAAGTATTTTCTAAAAATTCCAGAAAAATTCTAGAAAAATACAAATAATCTAACAAACATAAAACTCTACAGTTCCTTTACCCAATTTCTAATAATTTAATTATTAAAATTTTAACAAAGATTTTGTCAAAATTTAACAAACCAGGGGTATTGAGAATCAGGATGTTACACAATGCTAGTTTCTAAGAATACTGCTAAGAGCGATGTATTGAGAATACTTATGAAAGAAAAGAATATAGTTAAAGAACAAATGACTACCATTTGTAGTAGGATTTGTTTAACTTCTGATTTATGGACATCTTGTACTACTGAATGTTATATAAGTTTGACAGCTCATTATGTTAATTTAAATTGGAAGTTAAGTAGCAAGATTCTTAACTTTTGCCATTTACCTCCACCTCATACTGGATTTGAGTTGTCTAAGAAGATAAATGAATTTTGGCATGATTGGGGAATAGAGAAAAAGATTTTTTCTATTACTTTGGATAATGCTTCTAGTAATCATGTTTTGCAAAAGACATTAAAAAGTCAACTTGTTTTGCAACATTGGTTGATATGTGATGGTGAATTCTTTCACGTGCGTTGATGTGCACACATTTTAAATTTGATTGTTTAAGAAGGATTGAAGGTACTTGGTAATGCATTGGATCAGATTAGGGAGAGCATCAAATATGTTAAGGGTTCAGAGAGTAGAATGATTAAATTCAAACAATGCCTTCAAAATTTCGGTGACATTGATATTTCAAGTGGGTTTTGCTTAGATGTTCCTACAAGGTGGAATTCAACTTATCTTATGCTTTAAAGTGCTCTTAAATACCAACGTGTTTTTGGAAGCTTACAACTAATAGATGAAAATTATAAGTATTATCCTTTTGAAGAAGAATGGAAAAGAGCAAAAAAGATTAGTGTTTTCTTGTTGCCATTTTATAATATAACTACTTTAATTTTAACTACAAGTTATCCTACTTCCAATATGTATTTTTTACAAGTTTGAAAAATTTAGTGTCTTCTAATGGAAAGTGCAAAAGATGAAGATGAAGTTGTAAGGGACATGGCTGGAAAAATAAGGATGAAATTTGATAAATATTGAGATGAATGGGTTGTACTTGCATTTGGTGCAATTTTAGACCCAAGGATGAAGTTAGAAACATTAAGATTATGTTATGAAAGAATTGATCCACTTACTTGTGAAGTAAAGTTCGAGAAAATAAAGAAAAAATTGTACATACTTTTCTCTCAATATTGTACCAAAAATACAACTTCAAATGTTCTGAAGCGCAAACATGTTGATATTTCATCCTCAAAACCAAGCCTCTTTGATATAAGTTAATTACTCTAAGTCAATTATTTTTTATGAATTTTCAATTAATATTTTTAACTTTTTTATTTATTTATCATATTAGAAATTATAAAAGCACAACCTTAAAGCTACATCTAGAATTGGAAGAAACCAACTTGATGTATATTTGGGTGAGCCAACATTAGATTTTGATTTTACATAACACATGGATGTTCTATAATGGTAGAAGAATAATAGTTAACGTTTTTCTAATCTTTCATTATTGGCTAGAGATTTGTTAAGTATACCTATTACTATAGTTGCTTCTAAATCGTATTCGGTATTGGTTCTAGGATTCTTAATAAGTACAAAAATCGTCTTTTACTTGAGAATGTAGAAGCAATAATTTGTACTTCAAATTGGAAACATGGCTTTTATGAAGATAATCTTTTTTTGTACTAATTCAAATATTATTTTTTTTATAATCCTTTTTTGTACTAATTTTTTCTTTCTTCAATTTTGTGTGTTGTTGAAGATAAGGAAGAAAATGACAAAGATGGAAAACTCGGAGAGATTTTCAAATACTGCATCTAATGATCCTAAACATTGATTATTTTGAATTGAAGATGTGATAATTACTCAATAGAAGAACAATGTGAAGTTTTATCAAATAAATAAATATAATGTAATTTTTATTTTACTCGTTTAAACTTTTTAATATAAAGATAAACATTTAATAAATTTTTACTCGATACATATATGTATTTATTATCATATAAATTTTATTTTAACTTAATTGTTCTAAAATATAATTTATTAAAATAATATATCAATTTATATTATTAACTTTATATTTATATATATATATATATATATATATATTATTTTTTGAATTGTTGACATAGATAATTTTATTATTAAATTTATTAAAAGATTTGATTTCAAAATAATAAAATAAAATAAAATAAAAAATATGACGAGTCGATCTGTCAACTTGCCAACTTACCTTTTAACAGAATGAGCCAAGACTTATAACCTATTATGATTATAACAGGTTAACCCGTCCCACCTCGCTTTTGGCGGATAAAAGGCGGAACGGGCCAAACGGATCATATGACTTAAAAATGTTTATTTATAGTTCAATTACAACTACGCTCGTTTCACTTTTAAAATGGTCAATGTGATATTGTATTTAACGGATACAATAGAAATATGAATATGATGAGCATAATAGAATACAAGTGAGAAAACATTAATTATCCACACCTTATTATTACATATTAATTGAAGCATTAAATAATGATATGCATGAATTTGCAAAGTTTGGTGGGTGAGGGTACACTTTAATGCAAATTTTTCACACTAATCTTGTTTGATCAAGTGATGAATGCACATCAACCTCATCATCCCCGTTCAATTCCAAGAATTCTTTATATGCCATCTCACGATATTTCTTTGGGTGTTCTTCGTCAATGAAGTTTGTGCTAGGGCTGATTAATTTGTCCAATGGAGGTCCATGAACGCCAACCACAGAGATCCTTTGCACCTTATTGTTGCCAACAATAACTCGATGGACGTGACTTTTATACATCCCATTGGTTAAGATCTACATTTGATTAATGCTAAAAATATAAGCCAATTGTGAGGAGGAAAAAAGATCATTAAAAATAAGATATTAAAACTGTGTAAAAGAAATTAGAATAGCTTTTAATCCCTAATAAATTTAGTAATTATTCATTTGGACCTTCATAATTTTTTTTCTTTCTTTGCTGGTTCTTGATAACCTTTTCTTTTCCGTACTTGGTTCATATCAGTAAGTTCTACTAACTTAGTATTAATGTGAGAGTTAACAAAGATTAGACTATCACATATGTACTAAAACAACGGAACCTAATTAAGTTTCTTCCTAATATATCAAGCTGGTATCACGATCCAAACCATAAATCGCATACTGTTAATATGAATATTGGGTTGGTACTTACATCGTCTTCTGACTGAGACTATATAATTATTGATCTCAAACTCACTTATTCATAGGAATCTGAAGACCGAATAATACAGTGTCTCGTAGTATCGAATTATGAAGTATGAGACTTAGGATTTTATGTATAAAGTCATGGTCCAAAATCAAGAACTCAAGTACATAGTACAGTCTCTCTTTTTTTACTTGGTAGATCAATTACCAATTTTGACAATTTTATGTGTGATTATGTTTTTCTCTCTTTGAGAAATTATTATATGATTATTTCAATCTTTTAATAACTTGTAATATTTTCTTTTTAATTTAGGTAAAAGATTAATAAATTTCGTGTGAGAATTATTTAGCATCGTATATAAGCTTAATTATGTAATATTTTTTTTCCTACATGTAGACATAGAAAAGAAAGATCATGGAGAAAATAATTGAACTAAAGTACCTCAAGTTGATCTCCAAGTTGGATGAGAATGGCACGATGGGGAATATAGACATTAATCCACTTTCCTTTGTGGGAAAGAATTTGAAAACCACCATCTGCATCTTGCACAAGTGTAATTATAAAACCAGGGTCAGTGTGTTCAGACAAGCCAACAGCTCCCTTGGACTTGGCATTGGGTGGATAAAGGTTCAAGGCGATTACATCAAACCCTGACTTCAATTTCAATGCCTTCTCCACGAACTGTTCTTCAAACCCTAAGGTTTTTGACACTGCCCTCGCCAATCCAATTACTACCCTTCTCATTTCTTTTTCGTATTCTTCTAAACTTTTGCTGATGCACCAAATTACCCAAAACGAGATGAAATATATGGAAGATGGAAACTCGTAGTAATTCAACGTACCTTTCTCAATAAATATGTTTGAGAGGAATAATTTACAAATTTTAACTTTCTATTTTGTGAAATCAATAATATTAAATTAATATTTTTCAATGATATAGTAGCAAACACCAGATCATTTCTCCAATTAATGTATATACCTGAAACCAGATGGGTTGGAAGGAAAATGATATTGAGGATGCGCAACAACCTTTAGATATTCCCTGTTTTCTCCAGCGGAGGAGTTTAGTTCCCATCTGATTCTATCCGATGGACTTTTTTTGCTGAAGATCATTTTCTCATCCAATGTTGTTTGATTAAAGAAATCAGAAACTCCCTTTAATATATTGTCAAATACTTCATTTGGGATGCTATGGTTTACCAACTGCGTACATATGAAAGAATGAGAAACTTTATATCCATGGAAAAATGCTCAATATGAAGAACAAGTTATTACAGAAAGGACATGCAAACACTCTCTTCCCAATTTTTACTCCACCTTTGTTGTCAAGAAATTATGATTTGATCACATATGCAATTCACTTTTCTCTCTTACAATAAAAAGAATACAAACAGAGAATATATAATGTGAACGAATTGGTGCTGGTTAACTATAACCACCAGAAAGTGAATGAGATGGTGTCAGTTTCAAGATCATGAATTTGGTGTAGGTTATAATATTTAACTTTGCATCATGAAATCTGGTGTAAATAAATAGCGGGACACAAGAGCTAAGAGAGATACATAGAAGAAGCCAAATTCGTGGCATGCATGGCGGAGGCATTGAAGGGCATGCAGTTGCTGATTATGGTTGTGAGAGAAGAGAAGAGAGTAATCAATAGTGGGTATTTCATCATCGCAAGCTGAATAAGGACCAGCATGAGGAAGATGCTCTACCACAGCAAGGTCAGAGAAATTAGCATTGGAGTATATTTGGGCTTCCCTCAATTCAGGTTCAGAAGAATGAAATTGGGATGCAGATGAACTTATCTCAGCCATTACAGTTGAAGATAGAGAGTGAAAGAGTATACTTTACTTGTAATTGATTTATCTGGTTGCTTGAACTGGAGTTTCTACCCTATTTATGGACCAGGGTGAAGATTATCCGACTTAGCATTTAATACGACCTTGTGACCTAACAATAAATGTGTTACATGTACAGGGTGAAGATTACCCAACAACTTCGCATTTAATATGAACTTTCTCACCTAACATTAATCAATGTGTTAAAATTTCCTTTTTCAGCTTCTGAAGAGTTATTTCTAATTAATTGGATTTGTACCGCCAAATCAAATTATTACGGGAACATCAAATCTATTAATGATATAATTTTTATTTATTTTATTAATCTATTAAAGATATAATTTTTATTTATTTTATTATTAATTATATGTTATAATATTTTATATTAGTAATTATTTTATGAATTTTTTTATTAATTATATATATATATATATATATATATTAATATTTTATATTAGTTATTATTTTACGAATTTTTTTATTAAATATTATATAAAAGAATTTAATTAAAAGAAAAATCATCTCATATCTATTTTAAAATAAGTTACTTTCTGTTGATTTGAGTATTGACATATCTTTTGCAGGTCTATTTTTTTACGGATAGATATCTGTATTTTCTAAAAAAAAGAATTTTAAAAAATTCGGATTAGATGTATTTTTGTTCATGAATATCATTCATCCACGAATGTCTACGAATTTCTTTTTATATAATTATTTTATATAAGTGGGAGAATGCATGTGAATAACATGTGGGAATATTTTTTTCTTTTTTAATGATTATTGCTTTAACAATTTGTTATTTAAGATATCATCGGAGAAGGTTTTATTTTGAGATTTATGTATCTTTTATATTATTGTAACAATGGAAATATTTGTAATTTTACATTTTTAGTTTCGTTTATTAAAAATTAATAATAAACTTTAGTAAAAAAAATAATATCCAAAAATATAATAATATTATCTAATTAAGTTTAATTTTTAATCCATATAAAAAATATACGGATAAATGCTAAAAACACTAATATTTATTGATAAATGGCTAGTACAAATTATTTTTTATTAGGTTGGATATGAATTTAAAATTCATTTTTTATATTATTATCAAAATCCAGGTTTGATAATTTAAAAATTCGTCTACTGTGTTATTCATATATTAAATCTAACAGAATTATTATAATTTTATATTAATTAAAAATATAATTAAATTATAATATATAAATAAATATAAACACTTATTTTATGGATAGGATTAACTTGGTTGGTAAAGCTACAAAAATATAAGTAATTATTTCTTTAAAATAAACTAAACCAACATAATCTTACCACCCTTTTTTTCTATAAATTATTTACTCTATTTTAAAATATTATATTTTATTTTGATTCTTTATAAAATATAAAATTGGAAGGAAATGTGTTCACATCCCCAGTTAAAAAAACAAATCTAAAATATTATTAAGCTTTTCAAATCAGTATAGTCTTTTAATTTTTGGAAAAAAACGTCATTTTGATTTTTTTCTTTAGAGTATAAAATTAATATGATTACAATGAAATTTAAAAATAATAAATAAATAAGAAATACAACCATAAATTAACTTGTATACAATATTATTATTTTAAGTCACACGAATTTTAAAATTTTGAATATTAATAGATTGCACTTTCAGACTAATATGGCCAATATGCACTATCAGAAACTCGAATGGTACTTTATCCTTAGTTTTCAAAAATTAATTAATTTATTAGTATAATATTATAATTTTGTACTAATAAAATTGATGTATCAAACTTTTACACTAACGACTAAATATGAAGAAATCACTAATAACGTTTTTCTTATAGAAAATTTAATGTGCTCTCGTCATTGTATCATACCATATTATAGAATATGATATGTTACTAATTCTCATGAGTTAGAATATACAAACCTAATATTTTACATTTTGTTAATATATATTTTGTTTTTAGTGATCGATCCTTCAAATCCTTTACTCAACTTGTTGGATTCTCGGAATGAGAAGCACATGTTCTTGTAAAGTTCTTTATTATTTTTTTCTCTAAAAAATTCTACACATTTTGAATCTTCTTCCTCTCGTTTTTCACGTTATCTTGATAATATTGGATACATTCCCCGTCAATTTTTCAAACGTACATTATTTTAATTGATGTAGGGATTATATAATTTTTTTATCAAGCTACTCTAAAACTCCTCTACCATTACTACTGGATGGCAAATACGGATTAAGTACCGTGGGCAGTGAGTGGATCGGTGATTTTAATATCTCATCTGTTTTGACACGTCATTATAATTAAAATATTTATATATTAAAATAAAAAAATTTATAATTAAAAATATTATATTTTGGTATATTATATTATTAAAATATGCAACTATATTATAATTTTATAATTTTAATTAATTAAATTTAAGTTATTAATTATAATTAGTTATTTGATATGTAAATATAATATTTTTTAATTTATTTAATAAAAATATTAATTAATAAATAAAAAATTAAATTATTTATATAATCAAATATATTTTAAAAAAATACATATAAAATATTTATATAAAAAAATTATTAGTAGATTAGTCTTTCAATCTGTCTTTTGACGGATCGAACTAGAATCTATGACTCGGTTATGACGGATCAACTCGCACTTGCACCCACCCCAAAAGACGGACGAACTAGAGTCTATGACTCAGTTATGACGGATCAACTCGCACTTGCACCCACCCCATTTTTTATGAGTCGAAGTGGAATGGGCTGACCTATTTTATCATCTTCTATATATTATATTAATTATTTTATCATCCTCGATACATTATATTAATTCAACTAACCAATTTGTAGGTAATACAACAAAATATTTTTATTTATTACACTCCTCTATTTATTTTTATTATTACCTAGAGCTCCCTCCCCTTTATATTATACTTTTATTATTTATTACATTTTTAATGTCACTAACAAGAATCAAACTCAGTATCTTAGAGTTGAAGGTTGATACTCCAACCACTAAACTATTAGGATATTCCGATAATAATTTACAAATAAATTATATTTATATTTATCTGTGTAATTATATAAATATAAAATATATAAAGATAAATTTATATATTTATATATTTATATATTTACATATTTATATATTTACATATTTACATATTTACATATTTACATATTTATATATTTATATATTTACATATTTATATATTTATATATTTACATATTTATATATTTATATATTTATATATTTATTTATAAATAAATATAACTTATTTATAAGTTATTATAAAAAAATCTAAGTTGGATTTTGGGTTTGAATTCTGTCAATCACAATTCTTTTAATTTGATATAATAGAATTTGATATAATTTATTTACGGATAATATTTTGTAGATAATAGGATTTTTTTTTTAGTGTACCTCTTTTTTGTTAAAATTAAAATATGGCATATAACTAAAAGTATTAGTTAGTTATTTGTCTTTTTGAAGTTAACATTTGTAAATTCGTATTCAATGAATTTTAAATAAAACAGTAATATTAAATTATTTAAATTTAGTATATTAATAAAAAGAAAAATATTTGTTGATGAGTTATAATATTTTCTATAAACAATTATGTAAATAAAATTGTAAACATAACTTTAGCATTTTAATATATTTATATATGAGTACATTAAACGTATAAAAAGTGGATGGGATTATCGTTGTTTTACCAAATCAGTTGAAACATAATAAGAATGAATTGAGAAAAAAAAAATATATATATATATATATATATATATATATATATATATATATATATATATATATATATATATATATATATATATATATATATATATTAACTCGTTTTCTTTGAAAATAATTCCCTCCTTTCCGAGAATAGGAAGGAGAGAGTAATACATGCTTTCAACCCACTTGTTGTCATGGGTATCTTTAATAATTTGTAGTTCTAATATTTGATAATATTTTTTAACACATAAGACAAAATGGATTAACTTCAATTATTTTATCGATCTATCTAAAAATATTGGAGTGATTAATAATTTTAGCCTATCCATTTATTTTATCATGACTCGTCTATCCCGTCCGACTAAGGATGAAATGGGATAAGTTTGTTTGTTTTAAAAATTATTTATATATTAAAATTAAAATAAAAAAATTATAATTAAAAATATTGTATTTTTTATGATATGGATGAAATATATAATTATATTTTAATTTAAATTATAAATATTAATTAATTAATATTAAATTATTAATTATAATTAGATATTTTAATACAAAAATATTATAATTTCTTTAATTAATTTATAAAAATATTAATTAATAAATAAAAATTTAAAATTTATTTATATAATTAAAGATATATTTTAAAAAATACATATAAAAATTTATATATATTAAAAAAAATTGATAAACTAGTTCGCTAATTAATCCTTTAAAGAAGTGAGGTTAATTTATAACTCATCCTGTTTTAACATGTTAGATACGATATTGGTTAAATGGAGACGTATTCACCTATTTTGCTACTCTACTTTTAAATTTGTAGATTTTAATTATTTTCTAACTATATTTTAAAGATTATAAATTTATTCTAAAATTTTATTAATTATTTTTATAATATTTTTTTTAAAAAGTAGACACTCAGAATGTACTAGTATTTAATATACTATATTTATGTTATACTATTTTATTTTATTTTTTCATACGAAAATTATAAATATTTTACAAAATTTTAAACTTAAACAGATTCCCAAATTTTTGAAATGTTAAACATTTTCCTTGAGAATTTTGTAACATGTTCCACGCTTAACGTATTGGACCTAATGCCACCCCATGCCTGACAGCATCTTGAATGAAGAAAGGAAGAACGTGTTTTGTATGCTTTCCATCCATTGTATTTGTGCTATCTCTAATTTAAATTTGAAGCAATTTTAAAACATGTGATTGAATAAAAAATTAAAATA